ACATTTATGGGAGATAATGCTATCCACTTCTTATTTACATTGTCACCAGAAAGTGAGAACAGGCATTAAACTGGCATTTTGGTAGCTGGCATTGCAAGGTATTTATGTGCCAGATATGCTAAACATTTGTATGCCCCTTCATCCTTTGACTATCCTTCCACAGGATATTTACATGCTGATGGTGGGTTCTGATCAATAGTGATCCAGAGGGGACCAACACATGTTCACTCTTATTACCTGAGTCACATGCCACCAAAAGAACGCTGATCTTTCTTTTTTGTTTTTTTTGGGGGGGTTCTGTAGATTTCACATTGCAGTGTTGCTCTCTTAAGATATCTGGCAGTATGTTCCACACCTAGTTCCATTTAGTTTTTTTAAGCACTTCAGATTCTTAAATTTTGGATTGAATGCTGAACTTATCTTTAGAAATCTCTGATTACTACCGTTTTTGTGTTTGGTCAAATGCACATGCAGGAGAGGGGAGAGGTAGCAGCGCGGGGGGGGGAGGGGTAGTTGCCAGGGGAGCTTTTAAACCAGTTCCCCAAGTGTACCAGCTTCCCCCACCGCAGTGTGCTGCTGCCTCTGATACAGAGACACCAGGGGTGGATATGTGCAGGCAGTTGCATGGAGCCACTACGTTCTTAAAAGCTGGTTGCCCCCCGTTCTCCCATTGTACTAACTTCTGCCTGTCCTCCTTCACTGCTGCCTTGTGCATTTTTTAGGGACTAATAGCCTCACAAAGTATCTGCAATGACACACCAAACAACATGTTCAAAACAGATTAGGCTTTATTAAGTCAACTGGAATGCAGCTGTGGAAGTCCTTAGGTTAGCATAGACAAACTAAGGTTAAAGCATAGTCCATTCTAATCAAGCCATAATTCATCAGTCAAGCTGTAGTGAATTCCATTTTCAGGCTCGCTCTCTCTCTGACTTCTTTCCCTCATCAGTGCCCAGGTGAGAGAGCCCACAGTTGGCTTCTTGAGCCAATGCTTATTCCTCCCACCTCAACTCTGTCAGATCTTTGTTCTTGAATGAAGGGTCTCTGCTCAGCTTCCCTGCTGTTGAGTGTCAATTCGAGTTGTTAGAGCTTTCCTTGTTTTTCTTGGACCCTTATTGATTTGAGTTGATTTCAGCCATTTCCTTACTCACTCTATTGATTCCACCCAGACAGGGAGGTGATACATACACCTATGTTTCTTAGTCAGCCATGAGATCAAATTTAATTTAATTTTTTCCCCACTGGGTAACATTGCAAAGTTTAGGGGAAACTAAGGCACAGATTGGACTCCTGCTAATATTAAAGAAAATTCCTAAGTTATCACAAGCATGCAAGTATGCATTATTTCTGTACAGAACTGTGTAGGATTTGTCAGCATCAGCGCCTTTTATTACAAAGGATATTGTCAGCAGTGAGTAGGAATATGAGAGGATTCTAATGCTTTAGTCATAGTTAAGCAAAGCGTAGGTTCAGATAATATCCTATCAATAAGTATAAGGAATTTGTAAAAGCCTGTGAAGTGGTTTTAAGATTGTACTCTTTCTGGGGAATTGGTTACTCTTTCTGGGGAATTGTGTGAGTTATGCTGGGATCTGTAAGCTACTAAATCCTGTAATGTCCTGGGCAAAGGTAAGTGTGTGCATTTTGAGGCACCATTGAAAAAGCAGAGAGAAAGTTGTATAAGAAGCCTCCCCCCCCCCCATTAATAGTGTTAGATGGGCAATAAAACAGCAGTGGTTCACCAAGGTTAGCCCCTGGCAGGCCTCCACTATATTTAGCTCAGAGGTTACAGAACCCTGCAAAAGTGAGCCACCAAAAATTGAGATGCTAGAATGCTGCATAAAGATGCAGCTTAAGTACTGTTGACTCTTGATAGGTGGGTTTTGTTAGGTCCAGCCATAGAGGAAATTTGGAGCATTCTTTCTGAGGCAGAGGGATCTAATATAGAGACTGGGAAGAATGAGTTGGTCAGGGAAATCCTAAAAATACTCAGAGTTAGTGGGAAATTTTAGACTGAGACTTAGATTTTGTTGTTTAGGCTATCAGTGAACCCAAATCCCAAGACCAGCTAAGTTTGGACTATATGAAGTGTGTGATGGGTTCAGTCATAGAGATCCCCTTTGTGACTATCACTTGATGTGCTGAAATACCACTGAGCCTTCCTGCCTTCCTTGGCACCTTGTTTACTCTGTGTGGCTGACCAGGCCCTCCAGTTTCCTGAAGCACTGACACAAAGATGGGGTCACAACCCTGTGCAGAGTGATACAGACAGTGAGATCCACTCAATTTAGGGAAATCTCAGTTAAAGGGACTTACCGCAGCACCCAGGTGCACAACCCCAGCAGGACTGGAAACACACCCTCCCCCCCCCACCCCCCCCCCCCCCCCCCCCCCAGCTAATAATTACTTACAGTGGGGTTATTAATAAACAAAAGGGATTTTATAAGTATAAAAAGTGGTATTTAAGTGATTATAAGTAACTGCACACAGAAGAAATTTAAGGTACTAAGCAAAGTAAAACAAAACATGCCAGCTAAACCTAAGAAACTGGTTATATGAAATATCTCAGCTTCTTTCACAGACTAGACAATCTTCCACTGTTCAAACTTAGATATTTCTAGCAGGCATCTTGGGTGGTACTCAAGGGTATCTTGACATCCGGCAGTAGCCCCTATTGTTTGGCATCCCACCTTTATATAGATTTTGCCTAAAACGGGAATCTATATTGGTGTTCAGTTTAAACTTTTTCACATTTTCAGTAGGATTGTAAAATTTCAACAAGTTACCCAATGAGCATTAGGCATGCTTGTTAACCGGTTAACCAGAGGGCCTGGCAGGAGGGAGCAACACCCCTGCCCATGCAGCCTGGCTGGCTGGACCTTGGTCATGGGACGCTTGCAAGGCTGGAGCAGTTCCCAGCACACGAGGCTGGAGCACCCCTCACTGACTGCGGCAGGTCCTGGACTGGAGCAGCCTCTGCAGCTCACAGCTGTGTCGCGGCTGGGGCCAGGAATGGAGCAGCCTGTGCCGGGGTTGGGGCTGAAGCCGAAGCAGCCCCCCAGCCCCCTGTGTGAGGTGGTTAACTGGTTAAACAAATGGTTTAACTGTTCAACCAATTTAGGCAGTATTTACATTCCTAATTTTCAGTGGAAAAGTACAAAGTCCAAGATGGGTCCCAGCAACTGATGGCCTAAACACACGTCAATGTGGGGATTCTCAACCCCTCCTATGGACTGGTCCATGGAAGAAACAAGCCCATTTACAGATTATTGGCCTTATCAATAAACAATTAAGTTTCTGAACTACCCTTAGTATGGCCCTCACTTAACCTCTTTTACTGGTGTAGACATGCTAACTTTTCATGTTTCTAACTGTTAATACAGGAACACACACACAGAATATACACATTCAGCAGATTATACATTTTCAGATGATAACCTCACAAGAAGTTTTTGCATAAAGCATGTTCCATTTATGCATCTTCATAAACACATTTCCATAACAAATATGGATAGTGTGTGTATCTACCCTACTCAGAGAAGGGTGGGAACTCCCGCTCACACACGTAATGGCACAGATAGGCAGTTTTTTAAAATTTCTTATGCTACTTACTAAAGTATTTACATTAACACCATATAGCTTTGGGTCCAAAAAATAATTTTTCAAGGTTATTTTTGAAAGGTTTTTTTGAATACCTAATTTGAATTAATTGAGACAAAGTGGATAATATCTTTTATTTCACCAAGTTTTGTTGGTGAAAGACACAAGCTTTTGAACCTACACATAGCTCTTCTTCAGGTCTGGGAAAGGTACTCGGAGTGTTGCAGCCAAATAGAAGGTAAAACAGATTGTTAGACAAAAAGAATTCATATATGTTGGAAGAAACAATTCAATGTGAAATTAAAGATCGCTGCTACATTCTTGGCATTTTTCACAGACCTGAAAAAAAGAACTCTGTGTAAGCTTGAACTCTTCTGCTTTTCACCAACTGAAGTTTGTCCAATAAAAACTATTACCTCATCCACCCTGTGTGTCTAATATCCTAGGATCAAAAAACAGTATTTTTTTCAGATTCTTCAGTGTGTATCGAAGAAGCTGCTTTGCTGAGCATGAAATCACAAAATTGCTTTGAATTTCATGTTCAAATCTTACTGAATTGTGGAAAGTGAACCAATAAGGTCTAAATCAGGGGTGGGGAACCTTTTTTGGTCAGGGTGCTTGCTGATCTACAGAAAAATCACTCGGGCCACACACAAGTGAGAAGAAAATAAAATCCTCAATGATGTGGCCCCTGACTGAGAAGCAAAAAAACCCACTCTCCACATTCCCCTCGCACACCAGAGCCTAGGGGGCCCAGGCTAGTAGACTTGGAGTGCCAGTACGGGCTCCCTAATACTGGGGGAAAGCCCCGAGCCTCAGGGGGCCAGATCCAAGCAAGCCAGGGGCTGCATCTGGCCCCTGACCTGAGGTTCTTCACTCCTGGTCTGAATTAATACATGGAATGGTTCTCACATTACAATAGGCAATTTCCCATTCAGGTACTCTCACCTTCTCTGGCAGACTACATGTTTTGTTAGTCTGTAACTGGAAAAACTTAAAAAAGAACAAATAGTCTTGCAGCACTTTAAAGGCTAATTCGGTTACCCCTTTGAAGCTTCTCTCCGCTGTTGGAGATGAGTCACATCCATTCTCTTAGCACTGACGTCATACTCCCATCTCTGTTCTTTCCCTCTCTCTCTCTCTCGCTCTCATCTGAAAAAGTGAGTTGTAGCTCACAAAAGCTTATGCTCTAATACGCTAATAAATTATTTAGTCTTTAAAGTGCCACTGGACTCCTGTTGTTTCTAGTAAAAATTAAATCATAAATGTTAAAATAAACAGAAAAAAAATCTTTGTTTTTGATAATCTAAAGAATTTAGAGTGGCAATCTCTCTTTAATTTATAGTAAGCTAAAGAAAAGCAGGTTTTTTGAAAATTCATTCTTCTGTCTACTGTCACAGGTGTTCAAGATCAAAGCAGTGCAGCTGGCAGGAAAGCTTCTTCCGGCCTTTAACACACCCACAGGCATTCCCTGGGCAATGGTGAATCTGAAAAGGTAACAGATTTTCTTTTGTCACAGTTTTAAACCAAAACTTGTAATGGCAGATATCTGTCCTTTCTAGGTAGAGGAAATATGGAAGATACAGCCAAAATGACATTCCAGTTGACAGTTAATGTACTAGGCATCTGAGGACTCTTCCTGATATACATTACCATTAACTCTAGCAGTTAGTGACTGCTCTGACTTTACATATGAAGGTTCAGATCACTATAGCTCCATGTCCATTATATAGGCTCTGTGTTTGGCCCATAACCTATAGTCAGAATAGGCTCCTGAGAATTATATGCTGCGACCTTCCGTCACAGTAAGTCGCAAACAGTACAGACAATATAGTTAAACTCCATGAGTGTGGACCTTCTGTTGGCCGCACCTTCCTTAGCAGAGGCTCAAAATACTTGTAAAGATGAAGGGATTGATTATCCACTCAATCATACTAGTTTCACACTGATGCAATTCTATTGATTTGGCATTACTCCTGATTTGCATTGGTGTAATTGGAAGAAGATGGTTACATGTAATGTATATTATTCTTCTTTGGCTTACAGTCATATCACATTTATATTTTTCAGTTACATTTTTAATTAATTTAGTATGTACTTTATTAGTTGCTTGTGTAGCACTCTGCGTTTCACAATCATGATTCCAGTTCAGTATAGTCTGCAAAAAATCTAAATTCTAAGCCTTTTCATTGATATTTTCCAAGGCAATGACCACATTGAGAGGGAGTTAAGTTTGAGAGCACATGTAACTAATATAGGATAAAATAATATTACAGACATATTTGTAATTATTCCAAAGCAAAGCAGTATAAATCCAGAAAATTCAGGGTTAAGATTAAACTACATTGAAATCCAAATATGTTAAGGTATGAATATGAACAATTGTTATTTACAATGAAATCCAAATAACTGTAATTCTACTCATCATGATACTACACAATGATCATATGATGATAGCATTATAATATTTATGGTTTAATATTTAATATTTAATCAGACTCTATCAAACTGATTTTGAAAGACACATTAGATTTTGTTCGTTTTTGCTTTCCTCCTTTATTTCTTCAGGTCAAAGTGAAGGTTGTTAGGATGTCTAACTGTGCATTTTCATATCTTGCCATTTTAAAATGTCTTTTAACTTGTTAATGCTGAATTTCCAAAATTTATCATGTTTGGGGCTGAATTTCCAAAATTTACAACATGTTTTACCCTAAATTACTGTCAAGCATTGTGAACTTTAAGTCCATCTTCATATCAGTTGTTGTCTGGGAATTTCCACTGGAGTGTCTGAGTGTTTTTGGAAATTATTAAACATTTCACATATGAACACTAAACAAAAAATTCAAAGATAGTGGCACTCTGAGCGTCCTCTAATGATTTGTAGGTATGTTGTATCAACTAGAAATAATTGAAAATATGTAATTGTGAGTGTCTGATCACTGGTATGCTTTGGCAACAAACATCAATCAGATCATACTGAACATTTCAGCTAGTTTTACACCTGTTATGCAGTGAAACATCAGTGTACGTCAATAGGAGACCCCTCTGGGTGTGGGTGATGAGACCACTCCAGGGATCTAGAGGAGAGCCAAACGATTGAACGCACAACGAGAGTAGTATCCTTATATTAGTTTTATTCCATATATATATCAACAGACAAAGTCTTAAGATTGCTTATGTAATTGTGATATATTCTATTCCCCTTTTCAAGCATACTCACGCAGGGGTACTTAGCAGGTGGCCAACCCTGATAGTAGTGGAAGAGGCTGGAGATTTGGCGGTGCATGTACTGCCTCAGTTTCTCTGTTGATTCGTCTACACTGATGCCCTGGCACAAAGTTCTAATAAGTAGTTCTTTTGATGATTCACTGTGAGACTGCGGTGTAAAACTTTCCTCTGAAACTGCTACATAAGATTTTCCTCTGGGTATCACACACAAACAGTCATTCTCCTTAGTCTTGCTTTTTTCATGTTGTTTCTCCCATAGTCACTTTGCGCAATCAGGTCTCCTGATGTTTTGCCTCTTTGCCTTCGGCCTCTTTTGTCCACTCCACAATCATACCACATCCGCACTTTATTCGTCTTCATTCTTACCCTGTTAATTCATTATAATCAATACATAAATCAGTACAATCTGAGTGAATCATATCAACACCTCATATTTCTACTTCCTTGTGTCCTCTCAGCTAAGTACATCCGGTGCAGATGATGTTAGTTTGAAAAGAAATAACTTAAGATTAATAGTTATTTTAGCTGTTATTTTCATAACTAAAAAATTGTCATTAGAGGCTCAAGAGTTAAAATCTCCTTAACAGAAACATTTGATGAGTCAGATTTCAAAATGGCTACCATTTCCCAGGTTACATTCCATTAAGATGCCTTCTAGCAAAATATTGGCTCCCATTATTTCTTGTGGGAGTGAAACTGAGCTGTCCTTACAGAAGAAAGTGTCTTCCTGTGCTACGAGGAAATGGAGGAGTGGACTATGAGAAGCTAGTGAATGAAGAAAGTGGCTATTTTGGCTAAGCACAGCATGTGTTGCAAAGCGACTGCATTGAAAACAGTAGGGGTGTGTCTAGACTACAGGGTTTTGTCGACAAAAGTCCACTTTTGTCGACAAAACTATACCTGCGTCCACACTACCGCTGAGTTCTGTC